ACACACACACACACACACACACACACACACACACACACACACCAGTTAACTTGTGTACTGAACGATCCTACTATTGATATTTTAAAACAACTTAGTTTAAAGACTTAATTGAATTCTGAAACTGGTGTCGTTTTTAAGTTTTCATTTTTTCAAATGTATTTTAACTATTAGAGCTTTAGTATTTAGTAATTGAGTTGATAGAATATGTAATGTATTATCAAATGACTAGGGAGGTTTTAAGAATGATGTATTGTCAAATACTATGCTATCTGTAATGATCATGAAGTATTATATGTTTTTGTCCTTTAAGTTAGTAGAGCTGTTTGGGAAGAAATGGTGAATGCCTGCTGGTGTGGTTTACTTGCTGCTCTCTCACTCCTCCTTGATGCCAGGTATTAAGTCTTTATAATTTTTTTATTGCATATGATAGTTAATAAGAAACAAACATTAAAAGTTACTTAAATTGGTCCTAAAATTATTTCTTAATATGTGTTGAACATTATTCTTTTTTTGCCACCTCCCTCTCCTTCATCCTATTCTTGTCCTGCTCCCTACCAGAATAGTTGTCATGATGTTTTAATGGAAAATATAATCCTAAAATTACAGAATGCCTTTTTCACTTCAAGCCTTTCTGCTACTTTTACGGTGATGATAATTATCAATTCCTTTGATTTATTTTCCATAATGACAGGATTTACTGATTTTAAAATACTTGATATTTTGGGGCACCTGGGTGGCTCAGTCAGTTAAAAGTCTGCCTTCGGCTCAGGTCATGATCTCCAGGTCCTGGGATCAAGCTCCGCATTGGGCTTCCTGCTCAGCAGGGAGTCTGCTTCTCTCTCTCTCTCTCTCTTTCTGCCCCTCCCCACTGCTCATTCTCTCTCTCTCTCAAATAAATAAATAAAAATCTTTTAAAAAAATGCTTGATATTTTAGGTTAAATCTTTTGAGTGCGTGACCATTTTCTTCAATAATGAGTGTATATATTATATATTGCTTTTACCCAGTTCAGATTTTCAGATATTATGTTGATTAGTTAAAATTCCTTCTTAAGTATATTGATTTTGATAATATTTTTGTATAGATTTTCTTACAACTTCACTGAATACCTAATTCCATGTCATGTTTGCAGTATAATTAAACATAAATTAATCATGTTAAATAAAATACTTTCTCTTTTCAGCACAGATGAAGCTGCCACTGAGAATATTTTAAAAGCTGAATTGACTATGGCTGCTCTTTGTGGAAGACTGGGCCTTGTTACTTCAAGAGACGCCTTTATAACTGCAATATGCAAAGGTTCCCTGCCTCCCCATTATGCTCTTACTGTACTGAATACCACCACTGCAGCCACCCTTTCCAACAAATGTAAGACTTTAGCTTATTCACAGTTTTTTTCATCTAGTGGAATGACATGGTGTAGAGAAAAGATTATAGAAATTCTGAGTTCAAGTCTCTGCTGTTCCACTCACTGACTCTGACCTCATTGAGAAGTTAATGACCTGGAGCTTCAATTATTTCTATCTCTTTAAAACAATGGGGGTGCGGGGAGAATAATACCAATTTTAAACAATAATTGTGAAGATAGAAGAAAATCTGGAAGTTTTTTGTAAACTATATCATACTGTTGAAATGGTGGTTTTTATTTATTTTCTAACAGAACTAGTAGAACAATAATGCTTGCAACCACTTAGATTAACATTTCAATTTTTTTTCTCGTTGAATACTTTGAAAACACTCGTTTGTTACATGTAATATAAATATGTTTCAATATGATATTTAGTTTTCAAACTGAAAATGTGAAAATTGGACTCTAACTTTAACTAGAAAACTTTATTGGGAATGAATGTTAAAATACTTAATGTGTCCTAATTCTGTTTTGCATGTGAAGAAGTCTGCCAAAGTTTTATAATTTTAAAAAGTTATATAGAAAATTACTTAAAATTTATTTAACTTATCTTGGTTTTTTATACCTCCTGAGTTTTAAAAATGTTTGCATATAGATAATAGGTAACTATGTAAGGGTCATAGTTGAACTTAGTGTAATCAAATTAATGTTTTAAAATACAACATTACTGGGGCGCCTGGGTAGCTCAGACGGTTAATGCCTCCCTTCGGCTCAGGTCCTGGGATTGAGCCCTGCATTGGGCTCCCTGCTCAGTGGGGAGTCTGCTTCTCCCTCTCCCTCTCCCTCTGTCTCCCCCACCCCCGCTTGTGTGCACTCTCTCTCTCAAATGAAAAAAAAATAAATAAAATATAACATTACTGGGGCCCCTGGGTGGCTCAGTCGTTAAGCATCTGCCTTCGGTTCAGGTCATGATCCCAGGGTCCTGGGATCGGGCCCTGCATCGGGGTCCCTGCTCTGCAGGAAGTCTGCTTCTCCCTCTTCCACTCCCCCCTGCTTGAGTTCCCTCTCTCGCTGTGTCTCTCTCTGTCAAATAAATAAATAAAATATTTTTTAAAAAGAATTAACATTACTTTGAATGCAGTATGAGAAGTAAATCTTAATTATTTAAGCTTTCCTTTGTGTTCTAGCATATTCCATTCAGGGCCAAAGTGTTATGATGATAAGTCCATCAAGTGAATCTCACCAGCAAGTTGTGGCAGTGGGTCAACCTCTGGCAGTCCAGCCTCAAGGGACAGTAATGGTAAAGTACTTTTCTTATTTTTGTTACCAACTATTTAGCACACCTTTTGTACCTTTTTATGTTTGCCAAATTTTATCACTATAGTTATTTTACTCTTTTTTACCTGGACGATTGATACATTTAGAAGACATTAGCAGTTGACATTATCATAAGCAGTTATGATAACACAACTTTTCTTTTTTCCCCTGAAAAGTAATTTATTTCAATCATCTTTTTAATAGTAACTATCACAGGAGATTAGCTCCAACCAGTGATTATGGCCATAATGTATATCTTACATTAAGGACCAAATTAAAAGAAATGTATTCTCCATGATGATGATAATAATGATGATGATGATGATGGCAGCTAAGATTTATTGAATTTTGTCTTATATGATTTAATGCCCTCAGCTGTTTACATTCTAAAGAAATGAAATGATGGGTAGAGAGGTTAATTTGACTAAGGTTATGGTAGTTCCATGACATGAACTCAGCAAATGTGACTCTAGGCCAATGTCAAACTGTCCTTTATGCAGTCTTAATATTTATTTACAGGTTGATTTTCAAAATCATAATGTAAACTAATATGACATGATACCAGTTTAGCTATACCTCTTTAAACGCTTTTGTTTTCAAGTAAAGTAAAATCTGTAAGCTTTTATGTTATTTGTTAAAACTCCTTACTTAACCTTCCCCATCTGGAATTTCTTATGAGAGGTTCTAATATATATATGATAACACAACTTTTAAGCAAATTATTTTGTTCTGTAGAAAACCATCCAAAACCATTTTCTTAATATTTTTGTTTTTTTTATTTCAAAAAATATTTGAATATGATAATGCTGCTTTACAAGAATGTATAACAGTTCTCACAAATATATTTTTTAAAAAATATGTATAGCTCACTTCCAAAAATATCCAGTGTATGAGGACTTTACTTAACTTGGCACACTGCCACGGAGCTGTGCTTGGAACATCATGGCAACTTGTCTTGGCAACTCTACAGGTATGTTGTAGGCTCTGGGTCAGAGGTCAGTGTTGTTTTTATAGCTAAGTGCTAGCAGTTAAACTAAGCAATCCCTGTTGGTGTTTTGGGCAGTCCTAAAGAATAGGTAGTAAGTTGGAAGAAGGAAAAGTTAGAAAGGAAAAAAGATGTGGCTTGTATTGTACAAAGTGATGGAATGCTTCTCTTAATGGCTTAAGTTCTACCTCCTATGCTTGGTATAAGAAGTATTGTATATGAATAGTAATTACTAACTTAAATTTAGTTACTGGAAACCTATTTCTGATTTTAATTTTAGTTATTAGAAGTTACTACTGATTTTTAATTTTGGTTATTAGAATTTTTATAATTTTATAAATTTATTTTTTTCCTTTAATTTTACAGCATCTTGTATGGATTCTGGGATTAAAGCCTAGTAGTGGTGGTGCCTTGAAACCTGGGAGAGCTGTAGAAGGACCCAGTACAGTAAGCTCTAGTTAGTTTACTCAATTTGTGCCTCCTGAAATGTTCTTATGTTACATTTAATTGTATTCTTCTCTTAGGTTCTGACAACAGCAGTGATGACAGATTTACCAGTGATTTCCAATATACTTTCAAGATTGTTTGAAAGCTCACAGTAAGAATTAGTTTTTAAAATTGATAGAAATATTATTAGTATATATTTTAGATCAGAATGTTTTATTTCTTCATTTTCATTATAGGTATCTTGATGACGTATCATTGCACCATTTAATAAATGCACTTTGCTCCTTATCCCTAGAAGCAATGGATATGGCCTATGGAAATAATAAGGTGTGATATTCTATCTTTCTGTTTTAAATATGGTACATTATTGAGTTAAATGAGGTGTACACTCATTATGATCTTAGTATTTTAATAGTGAGACTAATGCTTACCTTGCAGGCTATCTCAATTCTGTTGAGTAGGGTTGTTATTTGTTGAAGTGGGGAGTGAAGAGGACATGATGTGGTTTGTGATATGTCTAATATGTATTATAATTTTAAACTGTGTCTAATTTCTCTTGGGTGCAGAGTATTTTAAGAAACATTTTGATAGAGTAAAGGCAATACCACATTTATGAATGAGTTCCATAAAATGTCACAATAATATTTGTAATATGATTGGGGCAATATAAGATTTAAATCAAGCAATATATATATGTCTCAGTTTCTCTTGCCTTCGTTGGGATGGAAAATAAGGAGCTAATCATTTCTTTCTAAAGGTAATGATTCTCCCTACCTTGAAAATTAAATTTTTGCTTTGCTCATTGACTAAATGAAGAGAACAGTACTTTTGAATATTGACATTCAAGAACATTTCTTTCTGTACTGAAAATATAATTTCTATTATATTGGAAAGCACAGGAATATATGGATTTATTTATATTTTAGAAATTACTTAAAATACAGTGTTTTAAAATAAGTATAAAGTGACCATTTACAAATAAGTGAAGATACCCAGAACATGATGAAAAAGCAGAGAATGCAGCTTTATAACTTGTTTAACATATACCTGTAAGAATCCAAAATTATGTTGTTTCTGCCTAGACCTAAATTATATTTCTTTATACTGTGGCTTGTCATCTGTAACACTGATTTAAAGATTAACCAATAGGGTTTTATTAGGGAGAAGTTTTGTATATTACAGTACATAGCTAGAGAATTACATAAACAAGCAAATGTTTGAAAATATGTATTATAGTTTACTCCAAATTAAGGCAAGAGTAATACAAAATATAGTGAAGTAACCAATTTCTTGATATCTTTAGTAGTCCTACATCTTTAAGATTAACTCTTAACACACAAATATATTTTTAATAGAGTATCTTAATTAAATCTGAGCAAGTTTTTGTGGTAATATCTTGAGAATTTATGTATTCAATCAGTAACCACAGTATGTTTACTGTGTACTGATACTCTGCTAGGAAATACAAAGGAAATATAAAATTTTTACATTCAAATAGCTCGTGGTTCAGTGCTAGTTAAAGTGGTCTAAGAGTTTAAATAAAGTTATAGATATTAAGTGATGTGAGACTTATTTTCTGAATCCTTAGTGTCTTGTTATGGAAGATGTTTTTAGTGCATGTTTCTCCTAAAGGAATTAAGATTAATCAAAATGAATTCGCTTGTGATTGGAGTTGGATATTGAAGGAATGGTATAATTTAGATAGAAAAGGGCAGTTTTGTGAAAATCAAAGGAGAAAAATGTTATAAGAAGTCAAGAAGAATGAGAATTGAGAAGAAATGGGAAATTTGATTATTATTAGTTTATAGTTAACCTGGAAGAATACAATTTCAAGAGAGTGGTAGGAGTAGATGTGATATTTCAGGGAGGCTTTAGAGGGAACAATTCTTGAGAACATGGATGCATTGGAATGGAGATTATGTTCCTGAGAGTGGGTTCTCATTTTTCTATTATAGAATTTAATTTTGTAAAGTGAAGTGGTAAATGAGGAACAGAAATAAAAGTTTATTAAAGTATTCAAGTATAAAAAATTTTTAAATGGAGGCATCAAACAGTTTATTTTTTAGTTGTGCTTTCTATAAAAATTATTATAAAATATGCAGATGTTGAAATAAGTAGAAACTTGTATAATTTTCTTCATTGTTTAAAAATACTCTATCAATGTCAGTTTTAATCCCTAGAGGTGTATATATCGATGTCCTTTATTGTAGCTTTAAAGTGACCAGTTATCTCATTTTTGGTCCTCATTTCAGGAATTTGTGCTACTGTGTTGAGGAAGTAGCTTATGGTAAAGTTGGCAAATTCTTCCCTACAAGAAGGTGGGGTTGATTATATTTGTGTATACCAAGCTCAGTATAACAGTGGCAAAAATAAAAAAAACAACTGTTGTTCATAGTTTACTATATGTCAGGCACTTACATTATTTTATTTAATCATGTGAAACAAATCAGTGAGATTTGGTGGTAGTATCCTCTTTTTTACAGATGAAATATGAAAATAGAGAACTTAACTAATCTCCCTGGGATCACCTATTTGGTAAATGTTAGAGCTTGTATTTGAACCCACATATGTATCATTCTAGAGCTTTATTCTTAACCACATCACTGGTGGCTCTGACTTCTGTGTGCATCAGAGTCTGTTGTATAGTTTTTTCTATTACGCATCTGCCTTTGGCTCAGATCATGATCCCCGGATCCTTGGATTGAGTCCCTCATCTGGCTCCCTGCTCAGCAGGGGAGTCTGCTTCTCCCTCTCCCTCTGCCCCTGCTTGTGTGCTCTCTGTCTTGCTCTCTCACTTGTTCAAATAAATAAATAAAATCTTTAAAAAAAAAAAGTCTGCTGTTGAGTTTTTAAAAAATACAAATGCTAGGACAACATTTTAGGCTTCCTGAATAAGAATCTTTGGTTATGAGACATGGACATCTGTACATTCTTTTAAATGCCACATGATTCCTGTGTGCATTTTGATTACAATAAGCAGAAGGAGGAGGAGGAAGTAATACTAGGCAACATTTATGAGGACTTACTATGTGCCAGATACTTTCTAACATATGATTGTTTCTGTATATTATTATCTCCATTTCATAGATTAAAAAAATTTAGTGGAAGTAGTAACTTACTCAGTATTACATAGCTATTAAGTGGTAGAGTTGAAATGAAATCGTAAGCAGTTACAGGCAGTTCATAGGTATCATGCTGTTTCTACAATGATACAGTTTTCTACCACAGAAATTTTTAAGGTACCCACAACATTAGCACATGCAGGAAGGATCAGTCTGACCATATTTGTCTCAAAACAATACTAGTTCCCTTTCTCACTGGTGAAATGCCAGCAACTGAGGAGAGGGGTTTGTCTTCTATTTCTGCTACTTTTCTGTTAGTGTCTAAACTGACAGCTCTGATATCTTTCATATTCCTGACTTCATACTTCTTTCCCCTGCTCTCCGATGTCTTCCTTATGCTTTATTCATACTTCCTGACATTCACACATAAAACCTGAACATTTGAAGATTACACTCATAAGAATATGTATTAGTCAATCTGGGCTGCCATAATAAATTATCACAGTCTGGGTGGCTTAAACTACAGAAATGTATTTGCTCATAATTCTGGGGGCTGCAAGTCTGAGATCTAGATGCCAGCATGGTGGTTCTAGTGAGGACTCTCTTCCTGGCTTGAAAGATAGCTGCCTTCTCACTGTGTCTTCATGTGGTGCGGAAGGAGTGCTCAAGAGTGCACTAGCAAGGTCTCTGGTGTCTCTTCTTTTAAGGTATTAATACTACCTTACTAGAGTTTCACCCTTAAGACCTCATTTAACCTTAATTACCCTCTATAGGCCTTATCTCCAGATATCATTAACTTGGGGGTTAGGGCTTCAACATAGGAATTTTCGGGGGACACAGTTTAAGTCTATGGCAGAATGCATCTTTCCTTCTGGTCAGAAGACTAGCCAGTCTATGTGTCTGAAATAAGTTTTGAATTTTTCACTTTTTCCTCATGAAGACGTTCTCTTCCTAACCAAATTTTCCAATTAGAAGCTATTCTGGATACTTGGGGGTGGGCAGGAAGGCTTGTCTCATGATAACTGAGGTTCTGTTATAATTATTGCTAACTTTATGCTAATTAGATATTATAGTAATGCTTTTCAGAATATTATCAGTTTTATTTACATTTGAGGTACTAAAAATTCTTAAAATAGCAAAATGCAATATGTTTTCTCTTTAGGAACCATCTCTTTTTGCTGTTGCCAAATTGTTAGAAACGGGTCTAGTTAACATGCACCGAATAGAAATTCTTTGGAGACCTCTAACTGGCCATCTACTTGAGGTAATTTTTTTCTTAAATACTGTGTTTACTTTTTGTTAAGAATGAAGACATAAACAACTAATGATTCTGGATAACCATATGAAAAATCAGCATTACCATTTTTTTCCTAGTACTTATACCTGTATAATTTATCAAGGACTAAAGTTTTGCAATAATTGCTTTGGTGAAGGAATAGGTTGTGGTTTTGTTTTGTTTTGTTTTTGGCTGAAAATGGGTGATACATCAATGCAGTCTCTGAAGGCTCCTTTAGCTGTTAGCTTGGGACCTCTTTCTTTTGTTAATACAGTCTTTGATCCACCTCAGTTTCAGGTAGTTCTGAAACTTCAAGGGCTGAGAGTTAGTAGTAAACACTGTGTCTTTACAGCCTTTCCTGTGATCCTGAGATAGCTCTTCCGCAAAGGGAAAAGCTTGTTTGGTATCACTAATTATAGATAGTACCAGGGAATTTCATCTGAATTTGTATACTCTTGTGTCCAAGTTGGAATGATTGGTAATAATTAGCTACTTCTCAGTAACAGCTGCTTCTGTTAGACACACATGTCTTCAAGTGTGCTTTAGGTTTAGATTGCCAAGATCATTTTATATTAGTTGAGTAAGCTAGGAAAGGTATTATTCTTAATAAGAAAAACAAATGTGCTTGTCCTTTTCTTTATTTTTTTTTCTATTTTATTGGGATTACTTTTATGAATTATTAAGGGATAGATTTCTTTATCATGGACCTTCTCACCAAATGGCACAAAAATAAGTTTTTAAGATTTTAGCATAGTATTTGATTATGAGGGTAGGCCTAATTAGGAACTTTAGTGTCAGCTTGCTTCTTTTGTTTACTCTGATGACACAATTTACTTTTATGACATCCTTTTTTTTCTGTGACTTGTTTAGTTTCATCTTTTATCTTCTGTCTCTTCTATTGCTTCCTTTGCCCCTTATACAGAAGGTAAGCTAACTTACATTTTAGATATATAATTTTTCATTCAGTCCTTATTGATGAACATTTGGTATAATTTTTAAAATGTGAAAGAACAGGGGTGCCTGGGTGCCTCAGTTGGTTAAATGTCTGCCTTCGACTCAGGTCATGATCCCAGAGTCCTGGGATCGAGCCCCTGCATTGGGCTCCCTGCTCAGCGGGGAGCCTACTTCTCCCTCTCCCTCTGCCCCTCCTGCTGCTTGGGCTCTCTCTTTCTCTATCTCTCAAATAAATAAATAAAATCTTAAAAAGTGTGAAAGAACAGAAAATATAATGTTTTAATTTTTCTTTTCTCAAATTGATGTGTGATACATAGCTTAAGTATACAAGTTAAATATTTAATTTTTGTTTGATGTTTTGGCTTCAGGTCTGCCAGCATCCAAACTCTCGAATGAGAGAATGGGGAGCAGAAGCTTTAACTTCACTTATTAAAGCAGGATTAACATTTAACCATGATCCTCCACTTTCACAAAACCAGGTAAAAAAAATTTGTTTTTTAAAAATAATTCTTAATATAAAATCATCATCTCCCATATGTAATTTTTTCTTAATTTATCAACTGGATGATATTACAAGAATGGGTTTTGTTGCTTAATATTCTATTTTATATGTAGGCCATGGATATCTTACAGAAGGTTGATATGTCTGGATTTTTAGGATTATCTTTATTAAAAATTATAGCAACTTTCTTGTGAATAACGTGGAATTAAAGCTACTAAATTACCTAGAACTGGTCTCCCAGTGTGGAAGTTTCCCTGTTCATACATTGCTGAAGCTTTATTTTGACACCGTACTTTATTATCCTCCTTGCTTTGGTCCTTAACTGTCTCTTAATTTTTTCTCTAATTATCCTTACAAGGGGAGAAAACAAGTACTCGAAGAGATAAGTACAATAAAATAGATTTTTATTTTTAAATACTTGTAAAGTTATTTTATTCTTCCAGAGTTTTTCAGCTCTTTGTCCTGACTTCTGTAATCATTCACCTTTATCTTATACAGTTTTTTTAAAAGTCCACCAAAGTTCTATTGTTTGAAGATTGAGCAGGAATGAGGTATTTAATAGGCATTTCCTTGCCTTCATTATCTTACTGTATTGTAATTATATTACTTATTGAGTACATGCGATGTGCCACTAGTGTATTAGCTCTTGGCATAGAATGATAAACAAAACAAAAGATGTATGTTCTTATAGAGCTTATATTTTAGTGATTTCATACCTTTTCCTATTATAGTTTAAGTTTTTTGAAAAGAAAACCCTGATCCATATCCTTAACATTCAGCTTAATACCTGGCACATAGTGAGAACTTAAATGTTTTTCTTCAGTCAGCGAACCAAGTAAGTGAGTCCTTGAAGAGAAAAAAGTTAAAAATGAAGCAAGTGCTTTCAGATACTGAAAGGACCAGAACAGAGTACTTTTTTTTTTTTTTTTTACTCTAATGGATTCCAGTTGTTTTATGCCATCTTTGTTAATGTCTACCATACTTAATTTTTAGGAGTATTAAGAATTTTAAATTTAAATCCATGTGATATACATTAACAGAGTAAATGAAAGGTGATTTTAGAAATTGGAGATTTTTCCTCTCTCCAAATATAGCTAGATATAAATAAATAGATATATTTCCTTTAGTGAGATTAATTTCATATGGGTCTTTAATTAGTGTCTTTTTTTTTAAAAAAAGTTTTTAATTATATTTTGTTTGGGGTCTTTAATTAGTGTCTTTTAATACAGGATCTCTCTCCATTTAACCCAAAATCTAACATGTTGAGGATTGGTTTTTATTTTCTCTTATTTTAGTAAAAGAGGGCAAAATAAACCTCTGGTGATAACAGAGACTCATATTCAGTGTTTGTTTTAGTAGAAAAGTATCTATTTACTATTATGGTCAGAATGGAGGTGAATGTAAATTTAAAAAGCAGCTGTACATAACATAATTAAATTAAATTAAATTTAAAATAAAGCAGCTGTAAAGCCTTCCTGTCTTTTTGAGCCTCTCTTCCTAATTAGTTTCCTGCCCTCTTTTCAGAGGCTGCAGTTGCTTTTATTGAACCCATTAAAGGAGATGTCCAGTATTAACCATCCAGATATCCGACTCAAGCAATTAGAATGTGTGCTGCAGATTCTTCAGAGTCAGGGAGACAGTCTTGGACCTGGATGGCCATTAGTGCTTGGAGTCATGGGAGCAATCAGAAATGATCAAGGGTAAGTGTTTTAAAATTAACATCCAAAATGTAATGAAGAGGGACTTGGTCCTAAAATCTTGCAGAAGTGGTAATTTTTTATGTATGCCCTTCCTGGCTAAGATCTAGAATTGTTTTTCTTAATCCTACCCCCATTGACTATAGTGAATTATTAGGGCTCACCTTTGTTTTGGAAGGATAGAAAAATTGCTGTTTACTCGACATTTGACATTTTTACAAGAATATAAGGTTGATAGGATAAATGCGGCAAGCTAACAAATTTTGTAACACATCCAAAGATTAGGTTTTGTATTATTAAAATTAGCATTTATAAGATGTGAATTAACACTTAGGACTTGACTTCTCTGCAAATATTGGGAAATCTAAGAAATTGCTTTTAAGGGACTTTTTTTTTTATTATGTTATGTTAATCACCACACATTACATCATTAGTTTTTGATACAGTGTTCCATAATTCATTGTTTGCGTATAACACCCAGTGCTCCATTCAATATGTGCCCTCTTTAGTACCCATCACCAGGCTAACCCATCCCCTCACCCCCCTCCCCTCTAGAACCCTCAGTTTGTTTCTCAGAGTCCATAGTCTCTCATGGTACGTTCGTCTCCCCTTCTGATTTCCTCCCCTTCGTTTTCCCCTTCCCACTATCTTTTTTTTTTAACATATAATGTATTATTTGTTTCAGAGGTACAGGTCTGTGATTCATCAGTCTTATGCAATTCACAGCACTCACCATAGCACATACCCCCCCCAATGTCTATCACCCAGCCACCCCATCCCTCCCACCCCCCACCACTCCAGCAACATTATTGTTCATTTATTTTATGCCAGTATATTCTAAGTACTATGCTTGCTAGTTACTCTGATTACACAGATAAATAGCTCTTGCTCTAAAAGTAGAATCTTAGGGAAAAGGAACAAGCTCTGTAAGTAGAATCCTAATGAGAATAGCCTGTTAGGCTGCAAAAGAATAGGATTCCAGTGGTAGGGGCCTGTGTCCCTGGAGGAAGGCAGAGTCAAAATTATGAAGGACCTTATAAACTATTTGGATTTGTCTTCAAAACATTTGAGAGGCATTTTTAGGAGTTTTAAGCAGAGGAATAGTGTGATCTTATGTGCATTTGAGATGCATCACTGTGACAGCACCATGGAGGGGTGGATGAGAAATGAGAGAACCTGCAGTGTTCTCTAGAAATACAGAGGAAGAGTGATGGATTTGAGCTGCTTAGCAGATTGATTATGGGAGTGAAGGGTGATAAAGGAAATAGAATAAGGAATGACTTCCAGATTTCTAACTTAGGCAGCTTAATGAATGGTGGTATTATTAACTAAGTAGTAAATACTGAAGGAAGAGCAAAATAGACTTATTTAACTTAAGGTAGAACATTGCAATGGAGAGGTCTGTCAAATGTTTGCATCTATTTGTCTCATTCTGCAGCAGAACTCATACTATCTGGTATGATGACTAGTTGAGGAGTTTTATATGATTGAGATGCTGAGGACTATTATGGAAAATTATTTTTTCTTATTTATTTGTGGTAATAAATTTTCTTAAATACTACAAAATACTGAGATGATTAAAGTGGAAAGAGATCAGCCATAGCTTAAGTCAAGCTTAAGTTTCTTCTCCCAGTCTACAATGCAGTTATAAAATAAGGCATCGTTGTAGGATGAAATTAGTTAGTACATGTAAAACATTTAGGAGGTGCATTACATAGCAAACACTCAATAAATTTTAGCAGTTGGGGCGCCTGGGTGGCTTGGTCAGTTGGGCATCTGACTCTTGATTTCCACCTTGGTTTTGGTTGTGTTCTCAGGGCCATGAGATCAAGCCCTGCATCAGCATGGAGTCTGCTTGTCCTTCTCCCTCCCCTTGCTTGTGTGCTCTCTCTCTCTCTCTCTTTTTCTCTCTCTCTAAAATAAAATCTTGAAGAAAAAATAAGCGTTAGCTATTACAATTCATTTTCATTATTATTTCACCACTGGAATTTCTCTCTAAAATCAGTTACTTCTTATTCTCTTTATTTGAAATTCAAAATGTACTCTTTTCTTTTACAGACTAGATATAGAATTTTAAATAAGATATAGATATAAAAGAATGAGGAACTAGTTTTCATTCAGTGAGTAAATTGTGTGTATTTGCATGTGCTAGGCACCATGCTAGATATTGGGGATATAGTGGTGAGAAAGTAGCTGTAGCCAATTTCCTTTTCTCATTAATGTCTGTTTTGTTTGACTAGTTGATACAAAATTCTTTATTTTTATTTATTAATTTGTTCAAGTATGTCTTTATCTTTTACAGTTATGTAAATATTGAAATACTGTATGATCTGTATTAGGGAAGTTCAATTTTTAAAATAGAATTTAACTTGGTTAAAATTATTGTAAGGTGTGTCTTTTTACTTAATTTCTTTTAAGTGCACGAGTATAATTTTTTTCAGAGAATCCTTGATACGAACTGCATTCCAGTGTCTTCAGTTGGTCGTGACAGATTTTCTACCAACAATGCCTTGTACGTGCCTGCAGATTGTTGTAGATGTTGCAGGTAGCTTTGGACTTCATAACCAAGAACTTAATATTAGTTTGACTTCAATAGGTTTATTGGTAGGTATTATTGTCTTTCTTGTGATCATATGATTTAGAAATCACTGTTATGCTGTTGAGAGTGAATGCTAGGAGAATAGGCTTTTGGCTTTAGAGGGGTTGTTTAAATGACTTTTAAGTACTAAACTTCTATTTTGCATGAAGGGTTAAATGACATACTTTAAGAATTACTTCATTAATAGAATATTTGGAATCATTTTGATATATTGAGCTGAAATTTAGCTTTAAAAGATTTGTCATGAGAGGATTTAGTAAACAAGTGATAGTACATACAAGGGAAGTATTCAGTTGATGCTAGTGTTAAGATGAACTGATTTTTAATATTGTTTCAGGAGCAACATTTCCATATATTACTTATTTAGTAAATAAAGCTCCAGTAAAAGGCTTTACTGTATACACAGGGCTTTGCTATATACACAGTCCTATAGTTTGTCAGCATTGCTTTATTAGCTATTAGAAGGCATATGTTAATGGAAGAGGTTTGACTATGGAAACAGATATACTTGCATTTTAATTCTGTGTGCCTCTTGTTAATTGTTTAATTATTGATGTCTTGATCCTCATTTTACTCATCTTGAATGTAGAAAGAAGTAGAATCTAAGTTAGGATATTATTAATATTATATAAGTAAACAAATAGAAAGCTCTTCCCAATATGAATGTATTTAAAGGCAATTATTTAGACTCTTAAATGTTTATTATAAGCCAGAAGTTTTTGAAGTCAAACTTAAATATCCCTTACAAGCTGGATAAGTTACTATTAAAAATGTAATTATAGGAAAGAAAGTAAGCACGTGTATAGAATTGTTCCCAAAGAGTAGTTAATTCAGTGTTGATTAAATTACTGCTAGGTGTCACCTCCTTTATATTTATATTCATAGGATTCTCTACATTTTTATAATTGGCATAATTCTCATTAATTCATACACCACATACTGTGGTTGAGAATGAAGTCATAAGATATATTTGGATATAGTAATTATTCTTTTGAAATTATAAAATATCATTAAATGATATTAAGGAATTGTTAATAATTTTTGTGGTGTCATAATGGTATCATGATTCTTTTTTTAAAGCCTTTATCTAGTGGGAATTATAAAATTTAGGCACGAGGTAAATACCACAGAATGTTAACAATTGGCTTTCTGCGTATCAGTATATTGATACATTTTCCCTGTTTTTCTGAATGTTCTTGAAATGTTTCATAATAAAAATGTTTGAAAATATTCATGTTAGCACATGATTGTTAACCCAAATTCTCCTGAACTCAGATGGAGACATGTGACAGAGATGTTTTCAAATCTGTTCTACTAGAAAAGAAATTACTGAAGTGGCTATTAAAAGTTTTATTCTGAAAGGTAAAGCAACCATGTGTTGCATATTTATGTGTTTAAAATGAAATCTGTGAGTGAAATGGCATTTTTCTACTTTGCTTTTTAGTGGAATATTTCAGATTATTTTTTCCAAAGAGGAGAAACTATTGAAAAAGAATTAAATAAAGAAGAGGCAGCACAGCAAAAGCAGGCAGAAGAGAAAGGAGTTGTTTTAAATCGGCCTTTCCATCCGGCACCACCTTTTGATTGCTTGTGGTTGTGTCTTTATGCAAAATTGGGTGAACTCTGTGTGGACCCCCGCCCTGCTGTGAGGAAGAGTGCAGGACAAACTCTGTTTTCAACAATTGGTGCGCATGGAACTTTATTACAGCACTCAACGTGGCACACTGTTATTTGGAAGGTATTGTAGATTAGCTTGAGTTACTAGCTTTTGAGACAAATTTCTAAATTTTTCAAATTATCTCGTTCCTATTAATTTTTGAAGAAGAATTTCCATGCGTTTGTGCTTTTGACAAAACTGAATGTTAGTTTTGTCATACTTTAAGTTGTACCTCAGAATAAATTACATATTGAAAGCCTATTCTCTCTTTTTCTGTCTTCATCTCTTACTATCTCTGTCTCTGATTTCTGCCCTTGCCTTTCCCTTTTTTCTTCCTGTTTCCCCAAAACCACATAATTCAAATGTAACCAACTGAGAATTTTATAAATAAAAGAATATCAACAATAGTGAAATATACTTGCAGGGTCACCAAACAGAAGTAACCTCTAATTGGTAAATTCTGTATGTTTGTTCATTAAATATACAGTTTCATTTTTTTCTTTTTTTCTTTGTTTTTTAATATTTTACTTTTAAGTAATCTCTACACCCAACGTGGGGCTCGAACTCAAAATCCTGAGACCAAAAGTCACTTGCTGTACAGAGCCAGCCAGGCACCCCTTTATTTTTCTTTTTCATCCTGTTTTTAAAAACTTTCTACGGGGTATCTGTGGCTCCTTTGGGCATCCAGCTCTTGATTTTGGCTCAGGTCATGATCTCATGGTTGTGCGATCGGGCCCTGCATCGGGAACTCTGTACTCAGCATAGAGTTTGCTTGGGATTCTCTCCCTCCCTCTCCTTCTGCCCCTCCTCCCGCTTATGTGCAGGTGCACTCTCTCTCAAAATAAATAAATATTTCTAAAAAACTTTAAAAACTTTCTACAAAGCCAACAGCTTATTAGTGAGCATCCCCTCTTTGCTGAAAGCTTTCCTTTTTTGTTCCATCTATTCTGTTTTAATAAAAATCTATTTATCATTTCACCACTTTTGTGAATTTCCGAGATCAGTAAGTTTGACAATAGGCTGCATAGTAGATCTTAATTGTATTTAACAATTTGTCTTCAATTTAATAAAAATATTCCAAAATGTCTTCTTAAAAAATTAATAATGCATATCCACTAATAAAAATAATTAAAATTCCTTCTCCGTCCTGTGTGTTCTGTTTCAACTCCATCCACTGGCTCCTCCTCTTCAGATCACAAACATGCTTAAGCCTCCCTTACTATTTTAAAAAAACAAACTGATATTTTCTGATTCCTATTTTCCTTTTAAACAGCTTAATTGTTAATCTTGCTGCCTAATTGTCAGTGATTTTTTTTCTTTCCTCTCCTCCCCTGCATTCTCCTGACCCTTTAATATGATTTCCAGATTATTCTACTTCATAGTTTCTTAAACCTTAAGGTAACAAAATCACCTAGAGGACTTGTTCAAGCACAGATTGCTTAGCCACCAGCCCTTGCCTCCCAGAATTTCTGATTTTTCTGAGCCCTCTGGCTTGGGGCCTGAGAATTTGCATGTCTATGAATTTCCTGCGTGATGCTAATGCTGTTGGTTCTGAGACCATATTTTGAGAACCACAGAAATTGTTCATCGGTTATAGGTGGTCTTCTGATTGCCAAGATTTGCACCCTAAATTCAGTTCTTTTTTTTTTATTTTTTTATTGTTATGTTAATCACCATATATTACATAATTTGTTTTGGTGTACTGTTCCATGATTCATTGTTTGCTCATAACACCCAGTGCTCCATGCAGAATGTGCCCTCCTCAATACCCATCACCAGGCTAACCCATCCCCCCACCCCTAAATTCAGTTCTTATCCTACTCATTTTTATTTTTTTGTAGCATTTAACGCTGTTGATTATTTTCTCCTTGAAATTTTTTCTCCCTTGGATTCTGTTTCACAGAATGCTTCTGCTTGTCTTTCCAATTTTTAAAAAATTTTTTTCTTCAATTCCCTCCCCTGAATCTACTCTTCAAATGTAAACATTCTTCAAGTCCCAAACACTTGCTGCTTGATTTTTTCTTCCTTCTTCTTTTTAATGTAGGCTCCACGCCCAGTGTGGGGCTTGAACTCATGATCCTGAGTTCAAGAGTCATGTGCTCTAGCGACTGAACCAGCCAGGCGTCCTGTTGCTTGCCTGAGCCTTCAGTTATAACCTCTCCACAGATGTCTTCCATAATTACATTTTTATGGACTTCTTAGCTTCATTCCCTTCCTGGATATTACCCCGTAGATGCTCTATTGATACCCCAACTCAACAAGTCCTAGAAATATTCTATACAATTTAAAAGTTTTTCATATTCCGGAGCACCTGGGTGGCTTAGTGGGTTAAGCACCTGACCTTCGGCTCAGGTCACGATCCCAGAGTCCTGGGATCAAGTCCTGCATCAGGCTCCTGGCTTGGCGGGGAGCCTGCTTCTCCCTCTGCCTGCCACTACCCCTGCTTGTGTGCTCACTTGCTCTCTTTCTAATAAATAAAATCTTTAAAAAATTTTTTTTCATATTCCATGACTTTAAGGATAATATCTCTACTGTTAAATTTTTGATTGGGGATTGATCTGTCAGGTGTAATTTCTTGTGACAGTTTTTAACTGCTGTGCTGTTACTTAAGCTATGTTATTTTTATGTGCATTTTTATAAATATTCAGGTTCTCTTTCATCTACTGGACCGAGTTCGGGAGTCTTCTACCACTGCAGACAAAGAAAAGATTGAGTCTGGAGGTGGCAATATTCTCATTCATCATTCAAGGGACACGGCAGAGAAGCAGTGGGCAGAGACCTGGGTTTTAACATTGGCCGGAGTAGCAAGAATCTTTAACACTAGAAGATACTTACTGCAACCTTTAGGTATATATACCACCCCCCCCAGTTACATAAATAATTCATGTTAAAGGAAATTTGGAAAATACAAAAGATCTTTAAAAACTTTATGTACAGTGCTACTTTCCAAGAATAATCAGTTTTAACTGCCAGTCTTTGTTGATGTGTGGTGTGTGCATGAGCATACACATTTTCACTCATTTCATTGAGAAAATATGTAACATACATCATATGGGCTAGCCTCTAGGGGATACAGTAGTGAGTAAAACACACAGCATCCTTGTTATCATGGGCCTGAGGGAATAACTATAATTACATAAATGCAAAATTAGTGATAAATGTTACAAAGGGGTGATGCTTTGTAAGCTTATAATACGTAATTGACCCAGCCTATGAGATCCAGGGAGGCTTCTCTAAGAAAGCAGTATTTTTGCTGAGATCTGAAGGGTGAGTAGTAGTTTGTCAGGCAACGGTAAGACAAAATGTGAGGAGGTATATAGGCAGAGAGAAGTGTACATTTCAATAGTACTGAGATTAAGAAAGCCAGTGTAGATTGTACCTTCAGTTCTGATGGTGGTGATGGTGGTGGTAGAGAAAAATGGACCAAACAAATACTTTTTTACATAATTATGAGTATGTCGTACATATTCTTGCATTTTTACAAGTTACTATTTTACATTTGGCTTTTTTGTCCTTTATGTTAAAGCATAAGCATATTTATCCTTTCCATCAGCATTTTTGTGTCGTGTTCTTCATGCACTTTTCCTTTTTTTCCCAAAAAATAATCTGTAGTGTCTGATCCATTTTGCACTCCTAGAGCTTAATATATAATATATATGTAAAAATCCTAGTTTTTAATTTTCACATAAAATTTACATAAAATGAAATGTACCAGTGTTAACTGTACATTTGCTGAGTTTTGACAAAGTAAGCATCATTTTTAATACTTCCATGATAGTTACTTTATTTGAAAAGCTAAAACCCAATAAAGATCCAGTTTTTTAAAAAGACACAAGGCGGTTTGTGTAGCTTTGATAATTTTTTTATAATTCGAAGATGAGAAAATGTTTTTTTATTATCTTAGAATAATGTTCATATTTTTAACATAACCATGTACAATATATAACTATACCTGGTCTTTTAGAAAGAGGACTTTTTTCTAGACATAGAGTTACGTTAATAGAGGAATTGCAGGGTTTTTCTTCCTGTGGTATGAAATATTCTGAGATTAAGTCACCATTCTGGTTGGTAAATGTATGTTTCATCTGACTTTTGAACTAGGATGGCAACAGACAGAAGTGTTTTGTTTAGCTGTTTTGATAGTTTTTAAATGTAATATGTCAAAACTCTTTGAACAGTTTACTAAAAAAAAAAATCTGTGTTTTCAATTGTATGTAAATTATACCTCACTTTTTAATAAAAGAAAGAGTGGAGAGGAAGAGGCATGTAACTGGCCAGGTATTATTTTTTTGTCCTATATAGGCAGAATAGTACTTATTGTTTCATACCAGGACTACTTCCAGTTTTCCTACTAACTGAATGCTTCCTTAGGCATATGGGTTTATCTCTTTTTTAAAAATTTAGTCATTTATAGCCTTTGGGAAGTGACTTTAAACCTTATTATGTAAGTATTTCATAGCCTACATATGTCATCCTGCTTTGGAAAATAATCAATACTTCTGATTTTGGTGTTATTTAAATGCAAGTATGTGGGGCGCCTGGGTGTTCCAGTCAGTTAAGCATCTGCCTTCGGTTCAGATCATGATGCTGGGGTCTTGGGATCGAGCCCCGCATCGGGCTCCCTGCTCAGTGGGGAGTCTGCTTCTCCCTCTCCCTCTAACCATCCTCCCTGCTCTCTTGCTTGCTCTCCCTCTCTCTCTCTCAAACGAATAAATTAAAAAACCTTAGAAGAAAAAAGTAAGTGCAAGTACGTGGGTAATAATCCATGGTGTTAAAGCCATTAGGCTAGATTGCTGGAGGAACAAGGTCATTTTTTGCTGGGCTTCATAGAAACAAACTACATGTTGCTCTAAAGAGCTTCAATATAAATGTACCTAATTGGTCATAGGAGTAGAACAAGAGATTGGATTGACCAATGGAAACTAACAACTACCATTCAGCCCGTGCTCTGCTGATAGTGGATCAGCAGACTCAGTTTCACATGAGCGGAAGAAATTTAGACTCATTCTAAAAAGGCAATCTGTTCTTTATGGTACATTTTCTCCTGGTGACTCCTTGTAATTGGGAAAAAATGTTTAAGAAAATTCTGCAACCAAAAAAAAAAGGAAAAAGAAAATTCTGCCACTATAAGTTATGTAAATATGAAAACCAAAGTGTAAAGTTAAGATTTTATGAGCATAGCATAGTTTAAACATTTAGACCTATAAAAAACACGTATTATTCAGTTATAATTTGTTAACTTTTCCAATATTTTTAAGAATGAGAACATCTTATTTTTAATCATTAATAAAGATGGATGGATAGATCAAAGTTGTAAAAAGCTTTTGTTTTTACCCTCTTAAGTTTTTATTCTGTTCTCCTTAGGCAGAAATACCAGGAAATAGTGTACACGTGTACATACATTTATAGAGTTCTGTTTTTAAGACCAAAACATTGATATATTCATTATCCTCTTCTTGGTGCCCTTTATTCCTGTATTTGAAAAAAAATTTTTACTGGAGTTTTGGGTTTCATTGATTTTAATTCACATTGTTTCTACCTTAATACCTAAGCACATTTTCCTAGTTATATAGGAATTTAAGTAGAAAAATAAAGCAAACATTCCAGAGTGTGCAGTAGTAAGAGAAATCTTGACTACTTTGATAGATTTTGTTTTTCTCTTCCTAATATAGGAGATTTTTCAAGAGCATGGGATGTTCTCCTTGACCATATACAGTCAGCAGCACTCAGCAAAAACAACGAAGTATCTCTGGCTGCACTGAAAAGCTTCCAGGAGATTTTACAGATTGTGTCCCCCGTCCGAGACTCAGATAAGCCCGAGACACCACCTGCAGTTAATGTACCTGTGCCTGTCCTTATAGGGTCCATATCAGGCCCTGGCCTGAGCAGGCCATTTGTAAGAACAGATTCCGTTGGAGAGAGACTTGGAAGATATAGTAGCTCTGAACCACCCATAGTTACCGATGAGCTTGAAGATTTGAATCTCTGGTGGGCTGCATGGAATACCTGGTATAGAATCGGATCGGAAAGCACTAAGCCTCCTGTTACTTTTGACAAACTGACTTTCATTCCCAGCCAGCCTTTCCTTACCGCTTTAATTCAGATATTTCCAGCTCTCTACCAACACATAAAAACTGGTTTCAACATGGATGACTTGCAAAAGCTGGGAGTCATATTGCACAGTGCTGTGTCAGTCCCAATAAGTTCAGATGCATCCCCTTTCATTCTTCCATCTTATACTGAAGCAGTTTTGACAAGTTTACAGGAAGCGGTGCTTACAGCTTTAGATGTTCTCCAAAAGGTAATAGAATTTTAGTGGCTCTCTAAACAATAATGCATGTGGTTCACTGGAAGTTTTTTAGTTTGCTGTATATTTTTTGAGATAAATTCGGGATCATCAGGATTGTTGAAAATATATACTTTGTGTAAATTCAGTATTGTAAACATCCAGTTATTTTAAAAACATATGGTTTTCTGATGTATTTGAAAAGATGATTCAGGTTTGTTTTGAGAGTCTTTCAGAAACTGTATCCTCTTGTTTCCTTTCACCAGCATTTTTGGTTTGACAACTCTTTACAAGAGGATATACTTTTCTGAGTAACAACTTTAGTAAAGTACTTCTTTTTTTTTTAAGATTTTTATTTATTTATTTATTTGTTAGAGCGTGGACAAGAGAGAGTGAGCGAGAGCACAAGCAGGGGGAGCTGCAGGCAGAGGGAGAAGCAGGCTCCCAACTGAGCAAGGAGCCTGATGCAGGTCTTGATCCCAGGACCCTGGGATCATGACCTGAGCTGAAGGCAGCCGCCCAACCAACTGAGCCGCCCAGGCGTCCCGTAAAGTACTTCTATAATTAGAAAATTAATAAGCTATGGGATCATATATATACATATATATTCATTGTACTTAAATTTAGCTCTGGAATTGTTAGAAACCTAAATTTTAAAAAAGAAGTAAGAATAAATTTATAAAGTATTTTCCTCACAGAAATTTTAAAAAGAGATATATCTTTTTTTAAATTTTATTTTATTATGTTATGTTAATCACCATACATTACATCATTAGTTTTGGATGTAGTGTTCCATGATTCATTGTTGGCGTATAATACCCAGTGCTCCATGCAGTACTTGCCCTCTTTAATACCCATCCCCCCACCCCCCTCCCCTCTAGAACCCTCAGTTTGTTTCTCGGAGTCCATCGTCTCTCATGGTTCGTCTCCCCCTCCGATTTCCCCCCCTTCATTTTTCCCTTCCTACTATCTTCTTTTTTTTTAACATATAATGTATTATTTGTTTCAGAGGTACAGATCTGTGATTCAACAGTCTTACACAATTCACAGCGCTCACCATAGCACATACCCTCCCCAGTGTCTATCACCCAGCCACTCCATCCCTCCCACCCCCCACCACTCCAGCAACCCTCAGTTTGTTTCCTGAGATTAAGAATTCCTCATATCAGTGAGATCATATGATACATGTCTTTCTTTGATTGACTTATTTCACTTAGCGTAATACCCTCTAGTTCCATCCACGTGGTGGCAAATGGCAAGATTTCATATTTTTTGATGGTTGTGTAATATTCCATTGTGTGTGTGTCTGTGTGTGTGTGTGTGTGTATACACACACCACATCTTCTTTATCCATTCGTCTGTTGATGGACATCTTGGCTCTTTCCATAGTTTGGCTATTGTGGACATTGCTGCTATAAACATCGGGGTGCATGTACCCCTTCAGATCACTACATTTGTATTTTGGGGGTAAATACCCAGTAGTGCAGTTACTGGGTCATAGGGTAGCTCTATTTTCAGCTTTTTGAGGAACCTCCATACTGTTTTCCAGAGTGCCTGCAACAGCTTGCATTCCTACCAACAGTGTAGGAGGGTTCCCCTTTCTCCGAATCCTCACCAACGTCTGTCGTTTCCTGACTTGTTAATTTTAGCCATTCTGACTGGTGTGAGGTGGTATCTCATTGAGGTTTTGATTTGGATTTCCCTGATGCCGAGCGATGTTGAGCACTTTTTCATGTGTCTGTTGGCCATTTGGATGTCTTCTTTGGAAAAATGTCTGTCCATGTCTTCTGCCCATTTCTTGATTGGATTATTTATTCTTTGGGTGTTGAGTTTGATAAGTAAAAAGAGATATATCTTACCTAGTGTGTTTTGTTACTGTGAAAAAGTTATTAAGGAGGGCACGTGATGTAATGAGCACTGGTTATTGTATAAGATTGATAAATCACTGACCTCTACCTCTGAAACCAATAATATATTAGATGTTAATTAATTGAATTTAAATAAAAAATTAAAAACCAAACAGCAAAAATAATAAATTAAAAAAAATAAAAATAAACAGACCTAAAAATCATTGAGTAAATCCCAGTTAGCAGGCAAGACCAGATCAAAATCAAAGAATTCTTTAAACTATCGAGATAATTGTTAGCACAGTTCACAACAACCATAATGCTAAGCGGAAAAATGCCAGCAGAGGAGCCAGCAATTCCAACAAAGTTGCTATGACATTCTAACAAAATTAGAATGGAACTAGATTCTGATTACACATGTGTTAATCAGATTTGTGTACTGCAAATCATGTTTTCTAATTAACTGATTGCATTATATCCAGCTGGAGTGATGAAAACTTTCACAGTAAAAGTAGTGGTTTCTGTTACACCATAATACCTCTTCATTGGCTCTGGAGGAAGTCCAGCTGAGTAGTAATTCCTTGATCTTTTTAACCCTAGTTACATTGTGTAGAGAAACAAATTGTGTAGAAACTTAAAATTTAAGAGAATCTGACATTTAAGAAACTTTATTGTAGGGTTATTAGCTTTCAGCAATTGAAATCAAAATAGCTATTTTTATTTTCAGTGGAGAAATAAAAGTAGCCTGTCACTACTTATTTTTTAGCCCTTGATTGACCATGCACATAGGTTGCTTATGGAGTGGCCTGGAGGAAACTGAAGTTATTCTGTCAGAAAAGCAAAGGAAAGCACAGGCCTTACGGGATGTCCGTAATCTAGAACTCTCATTTTAGATGTTTGATTCAGGTTTTTATAAACCCAAACCTCCAAAATTTTTTTCAAGGAAAAAAAGTACATAATTTTGTTTTTAAAAACTCTGCTTTAACAATGACAGAACAAACAGAATCATTTATTCCAACTACTAGGAATTTGTTCTGAGCTTTTACTGGCTTTGAAAACAATATATACATACCTTCAATCTGAAACCTAGGAAGCTTTATTGCTGTTCATTTATATCAGTTGGTATCATTTTGCATTACTAATTTTCACTCTAGCTGTTCTTTATTACTTATGTGATTATCTAAATGATATTTCATAGTACTTGAATATGAGTAAGCATGTGGTGTCTTTAATATTTCCTAATAGAAAAAATTAACATATTTCATTATCAATAAAAGTGTTTGTGTATTTTCTCCCACAGGTGTCAGAAAAGTTTTTTACAGCACAATTTACTTACTTTGGGACTTTATCCTTAAATTAATAAGCTATCCAATGAAACATTTTATTGATTAAAGATCATTTCCTGCGTAAAACCTCATTTTTGATTTCACGTTTACCCTTATATAGTTTAGGGCTTCAGGGTCACAGTCTTCACTTGGTTCTTAAATCACTAGTTCCCACCAAATTGACCTAGTTATGTATGCTAACTGATTTTTTTTTTTTTTTGGCCAAGATATTTTGGCATGTGTTGGACCTGAGAATTTGATTATCTGTTTTCCCTAAGTTCTGAGATCAGGAGACTGCATCTGTCTTATTTATTGCTAAACTTCCTAAAGTCAGTGGCTGGATACTGTATCTGCCTGCCTCCATCATCAAGGCTGCTAGAGTAGTACTCCAGGAAACACCATCACATTGTGTGTGGATGGTGCCCTTGGAGTTGTGCAATGAAGCCCTGCCTGCTAGTCAGTGGGGCAAGTTTTGGAATCTCTTTATATATCAGCTTCTTAATCTATTAATCTATAAAAAAAAATAGATCTTCAACTTTTTTCTTATTAAATGGGATTTATAAGGCACTTACTGCCTGGCACAGTTAAACTAAATGTTAGCTGTTACTGTCTTCATCATCAAGTTCCCTGTCAAAGGTCTTAGTATATGAGGGGAGAGGGCAAAAAAGTCTTAATAGATATAGGTACTGAAGGAATTATTGTTGAAGGACTTAAGAGAAACCTTGAACCATGTCAGAGTTTGGATGTCCATTTTCTGTTCTTGTTTTCACATGTAGTTTTCAAACTGGAATAATAGGAAATGTCTAGATAGCTGACTGATTCTTAACTTTTGAAGTAAAATCTGTTATCAGGTTCATACTGTAGTTTTTTTCTGATACACAAACTTAAGAATACTGAAGAAAAACCAGTAATACCTTTTTCTTAGATGGAGTTTGTTTAAAAAAAATGTCAATTTCATATTATGCATTTTAAGATCTCAGAATTGCTTATTAAGTCAACTATAATGCTACAGTATGTTTTCTTTTTATAAAGGACCACTGAAAATCAAAGTGTGTAGTCACAGTCATTATTTGGTGCTAAGATATTTCCAGAGAAATGGTAATACTTAGTTTTCTAAGGTAACCACACAGGCTTTTTCTCTTTTTTAGTTATTGAAAATTTAGGAATCCACTTGGTATAATTATTTCTTTTCCACAGTAGTTACTGCTTGTTTACTTATAAGAGTTACAACTCAGCAAGAGGTTAGTAAAGAAGAAAGTGAAATTTACAGAATCAGTCCTTAGAGTGAATTTTTTTAGGCATTCAAGTTCTCTGTTTACTGTTACTGAGAAAAATGACCAAATATTGAGAGATAGTATTAGATATCTTTATTCTACTTTTTTACATTGTAATTATAAGATGGTCTAACTTAGGTATGGCAGCACTTTGCTTATCTATATTTCAAGACTTTTATTTAAAACTTAAGTCATAACTAAATGGTTACATCTTCTCTCAGGGAAAATAAAATTAATGTATTATCTGACAGGTTTAAAAAGGCATGGGTTGCAGAAAAACACAAATGTGTGCATCTTTTTAAAGAATATTCCTTAAAATTTTGAAATGCTTTGAATTTTGATTTAGTACTTTGAGGGTACCTCAAGTGCAGAATGACCATGCTTTTTGTTTTGTAAAGCACAAATTTATTTTAGACATTATGTAAATAATATCATTAAATATTTTTCCCACAGAGAAAAAGAAACACTAAAATATGTGAAAGGACAAGAGGAGAAAACACATTTGTGGCTAGAAAAAAATGAAAATATAAGATTTATTTTAAGTACTTTCAACATACCTGAAGTAATTAAAATCTGCAGTGTCAGGATATGCAATTTGTTTTATCAATTTGTTTTATCAAATTGTTTATAACAATAGGTTTAGTTTCTATTAATTTTTTAAAATTTTCTTGTTTTAGAACAAGTCTATATATTCAGATACATTAGACATTAAATATACACTGCCCTGTTAAAAAATTAACATATACATTTCTTTTAGAAACAGATTTTCATCCATGGCTTATTTTCCCCAACTATAATACACATGATTATTTGTGAAAGTCAGAAGACTAAGCATAGTGCAGAAATCAGCTGTCATTTCATTGAACTGATACTATCACTTAAATAGAAGTCAGTATCAGTCAATATAATCTTGGTCATTGAAGCATTCTTGATGGTGTAATGGTCCTGAACCAATGATCCGATCATGGAACCTCAGGACTGCCTGGGGCTCCTCTCCAAGTGCTTGCCCTTTTTCCAGTCTGTTAAGTCATAAATCACACTTTCTATTAAAAACATTTTGTAGCTCATTAACACATTTGGCTTATACTTTATTCAATAATAGTTTAAAATAGCTTGTAATAGCTATGTCCTTCAGGGCTTATAAAAGATTGTATAATACTTATATAAAATAGGACAGTTTTTAAGATTCTTTGGGTAAATGCATATATAGTGAAGAACTTAACTGGAGTTCAGGTTATGCATTCTGCTGTTCATATTTTGCTTTTATAGGCCATCTGCGTGGGGCCAGAAAACATGCAGATAATGTATCCAGCTATATTTGACCAGTTACTGGCATTTGTGGAATTTTCCTGTAAACCTCCACAGTATGGACAGCTAGAAACCAAGCACATTGCAAATGCAAAATATAATCAGGTAATTTCATTTAAATTGTATTTTCTCTGTGAGATTTCATGGCTTATAAACAGTTCCACATAAGATGGAAATTTTTCATTTACAAATAAACTTTCATATGTCTGTTAACAGTTTAAGCTCAAAAGAAACACTATTTGGAAAATCTTTTCTCTGTTCCTTTTTTTCTTGTTTATAACTCTCCTTTCCCAAGTAGTTCTCCAGAAAGTTTGGCCCCTTTCATGTTACGTTTTTCTTCAGAGTTCCTTTCTTGACTGCCCCATCCCATTACAAAATGGCTTCTAAATCCCTAAGCCTAATCTTGTCTAAAATAAATGCCTGAAATGCAAACTGAAGACATCTGTGTGTACTAAATAAGTTGTCTACTGCTGGTGTGAAATTTAGTTGGATTTTACCTAAAAGATTTTTATAGCCATCATTGGCAAATTTTGGCTTAGGGGAAAAGTAAATTTCTGAATGCATGCACAGGCTGATTTTGTTCACTCAACATTAAATTAAAATTTTACATGGTCCGAAGAGTAGTTTTAATGTGTATTAACTTTTCTCATTCTATTTGTCTTGCAACACAATGGAATCACAATAGATCCAACTATTTGCACCGGTGAGTTAAATTTCCTGAAATTGTCCTAACCTGTTGGCAACAAGTAAAGTACATCTTTCCCATTTCTTGGTAGAATGCTCTCTGCGCTTTTTCTGATAGTTTTAATTTTTGCCTGGCTAAAAATCGTTCTTTCATGAAGTACATATCTGTTTGAAAACTTTGCATGTAATATAATCTGACCTAAAACCAAGGACTGAACTTTAAGACAAAGAAGGTGTCTCTTTGAAAACAGTATAATTTAACTTAATCTCATTTATTTTTAACTCCATGTGAAAATATTACTTTTTAGGCGGAATGGGTAGCCTTGAATTATGTACCGTTTGCTGAAAGGTCTTTAGAAGTAGTTGTGGATTTATACCAAAAAACAGCCTGTCACAAAGCAGTCGTGAATGAGAAGGTACTCCAGAATATTATTAAGGTATCTTTTTCTTTTTAATTTCTATTCTTTGATGATGACACTATTACTGAAATTACTTTTTAGGTAATAATATATTACCATATATTGAGATAAATGGAAAATACTTATATTATTATTTATAGGGACTTTTCCCCAACATTCATGGATAGTATTTAGGAAGCCAGTCCCAGTATGAAAAGTTTTTTTTTTTAACGAAAAGTATTTTAAAGTAAGTGTGCATTAGATTTTTTACAGTTCTTTAATTATGCCACAAGTCAATGAAGGATCCTGTTTCTTAGGACAGTAACTTCTCATACTTCAAGGTTGATGAGCATTCAGGGAGAAATGCACAGCGCATCAATTTAACTGATACGTATTTTTTTTTAAGTCAGTTTCTTAGTGTATGGACCATTTTTAAAACTCATCTCTTGTTGATTCTGATTCCTCCAAAGTGTATTTCTTGTTTTTTTCCTGTGTTTTGAAGGGCAAACCTCAACCTTGCCTTCTATTTACTGAACAAATATAGGCCAGTATGAACCATCTTCCCTCAAGGAAGACGGCCATTCTCGTTCCAAAGCTCATCCTGCTCGTTGTTTCCCTCCTTTGCTCTTTCCCTTTTTCTTTGTTGATGATTCTTTCATTTTCCTTTTAGCCTTGTAAACAGTATCTTGGAAAGATGATAAAGCCCTTTATTTAAGAACTTTCTCGTACTTTGCTTCCTACTCAAATGGCCCTCCTCTTTCAGCTTTCCTTTTTTTCCAAATTCCTTTAGTTTAAACAGCTTGTGTCCTTCACATAGCTGCAGTTCACTCTCAGCCCACTGCAGGCTGGCTTACTTTCACATTGTGCTTCAGAAATGACTTAAAGTTTAGAGGATCAAATCTTTAATTCCTGTGTCCTTTTCTAATTATCTTCCTATTATATGATATTGCCCTTGCCTTCTTTAAATTCTTTCTTCCCTTGACTTTTGTACTCTTTCTACCCCTCCCATGCACCCCATCACAACTATTCTCTCTCTCATTTACTGAGAATAGTTTTTAAGTACCTCTGTTGCCATGTACTAATTAAATAGTAGGGATTAAAAATGAATAAAATAATTCTTATATTTAATAATTCAATGAAAGGAATATAGAAAGGCAAACAAACAATAATATAGTATGTTAAGTCCTAGGTGAAGACCACAGAGTGGATTCAGATAGACCTGCCTTAGAATAGTGCATTACTCTTTACTTGCTGCTGTATGATTTTGGGTAAATGAACCTGTCAGAGTATTTCTCATCTGTAAAAGAAGGTTAATACCAATACCACTTACGTGTCTGAACTATTAAGAGACTCATTTGAGATACAGCATTTAATGATACTTGCCACATCTCAGTGCTCAATAAAAACTTAGTCCCTCCTCCCATCCCCCATAGACAAGGAAGTAACTAACCTGCCTAGAGGATTTTGGCAAGGGTTAATAGAAGTGACACTTGAAGGAGTAACAGGTTTGCTAGGTAGAAAGGGAGAGGCATTAAGCAATGTAAAAGACTGTGGTATTTTTTCTTTTCTTTTTTTTTTTTTAAATATTTTATTTATTTGAGAGAGAGAATGAGAGAGAGAGAGCACATCAGAGGGGATAGGGTCAGAGGGAGAAGCAGACTCCCTGCCAAGCAGGGAGCCCAATGCGGGACTCGATCCTGGGACTCCAGGATCATGACCTGAGCCGAAGGCAGTCGCTTAACCAACTGAGCCACCCAGGCGCCCTGTGGTATTTTTTCAAGAAATATTGAGAAATTCCATTTAGGGAGATGTCAGGGCTAGGAATAAGTCTGAAAAAGTAGCTATGGTTCTTATAAACCATCATAAGGAATCAGACTTCATTGAGGTTGAACACTAAGGAGTGACATGAATCACTTTGTCTTTTTAAAAGACTTCAACAATCTCTTTTCTATATCCCCCCTTTCTTGATGCTGCTTACTCTATTGTGGTTTAGTGGACAAGGCTCTTTCTTTCTCAAAAATTGTGAGCTTTGTGGCAGCAAGAACAGAATTTCCCAGTTCCCACATACATTTACTCAGCATATACTATATGCTAGTCTCTGTATTAGTTGCTGAAGTATTTTTAAACAAAAAATGTATAAATCACATAGATCTATTGTGCTTAGCATTCCCTTGGTTTCAGTAAAATATTAATTGTAGTGGTAAACTATATTTTTCTGTTATCTAACCTTGAGTTATAAAATGTTAATTTAGACTTGCCCTTGTATAATTTAGTATTATTTTCTTTGCAAATGACATACATTCAGGCTCTGACTAGCTTTAATAATGAAGGAGGCTTATTGCCATGCTTAGTTTGAAAATTCAGAGATAGAGGGAGGGTTTTAGGTTTGGTTTATTCAGTGGTTCAGCAGTATCAACAAAAATAAATTTTTTTCTCTCTCTCTTCTGCTTTCCAAGGATTGACTGCATCCCAACTATGTTTCTCCTCATAGTTATAGACTAATAAAGGGCTTGATGTCCAGTAGGAGGTGTGTGTATGTGCATGCACTTCTTATCACACTATTCTTCTTCGTTCCTAAAATTAACTTTAAGTGGACCGGCTTTAATCCTATGGCCAGTCTTGAACCAGTAATTATGGCCAGGGAAATGGAGTATATTAATTGGCTTAATAAGCTAATCATCTCCTTACCCTAACTCCCGACTGAAAGTGGAGTCAGGTTCCCCCAAAGCACATGGGGAGAGGGAAAGGATAGATTTGGCTAGGCTGATTATCTCTTAGTGGAGGCTCAGTTCATGCTAACATGTAATGGTTCACTATGTGAGTAGTCAGTAATAATTGTGTGGAGGATGATGAAATTAAGTTTTATATTCCCTCCGTAACCTTGAAATATGAAAAGGTATCTCTTCTACTCTTTATCTTTCTCTAACTGGAATTTTTATATAAAAGCAGGATTTTCACTCTCATGCAAACGATCTATTGATAGTGCTCTGAGACAGCTCACTGTGATAGTTTGGTCAGTCTGGTCTTCTAGTTGCTGGATAGAAGTGTGGCTGTAGGAGTTCATTCTGAATCACCAAATTAGTTCTTTAATGGTTTATAGCAACCTACCGCAAAAGTGGACCAGTTAAAAAGTCTCAACATCGTAGTCACTATACATAGCTCAGATGCTTTACTCCTGTATCCACAAGGGTTAAAGAATAAACTATCTTTTTAATCATCAGTTTTACTGAAATAACTTGGAAATGGAAAAAAAGTACATTAAAATGTTGGAGTAGAATATAAAATTCAAAGAATTTTAGAGATAAAATATAAGACTTCAAAGTATTGATGCTTTAGGTTATGTTTACCTAACCAATAATGAAAAAAGCAAGGTATTGATCTCTGTTAGATGGGAGAACCCCATCAGTCAAATTATTTTCTGCTAGGAAAACTATGGCAAAATGTTACTAATTCCATAACAGCAATTTGAGAGAAGCTGCAAAATTGTAAATTTACTACTCCTATCTTAAGTTTTCAGGTAACATCCCTATGTTTTATGATGAGAAACTGAAGTTCAGAAAGTTGTTACTTGTTCAAGGTCATTGTTTATAAAATGGAGACAGTATCTTACTAGGCAGTAGATTTGAAGACTGTGTCTGAAAATTGATCTTTCTAGAAAATAACATCCTTTTTAAAGTGAAAATACCTATGCTATTATTTTTTTCTGCTTTAGTTTTTTTAAGTAATTAAAGTTGTATGTATATATTTTATTTAATACATATGTTAAACTGTCTTTATTTTCACAGACACTTAGGGTTCCTCTCAGTTTGAAATATTCCTGCCCTTCTGAAAGCACATGGAAATTAGCAGTATCTTCTCTCCTCAAAGTTCTTTCTATTGGGCTACCTGTTGCCCGGCAGCATGCTTCTTCTGGAAAATTTGACAGTATGTGGCCAGAATTAGCCAACACTTTTGAAGACTTTCTCTTTACTAAAAGGTCAGCTCATTCAATTTTACAATTGTAAGACAATCTCTCAAAAATATGTAATGCCTGCAATTGGACTAAAAACAGTATTTCTCATTATTCATTAACAAAGTAATTATTAAGATTGCTCCATCGTATACAAAGCACAACTGATTTATTAAACATTTATCCACTAGCTACATTATCTGTGAGCAAATGGAGATTTTTGCTTTTCACAGTGTTTTTGGTTTTAAGACAGGAATCTCTAAGACTATATGGATGCATCATAATTAAGGTTTTAACTCAGTGAAGCTAAGAAGATCTATTTTTTCAGTCTGCTTCCCATTTGACATTGCAAGAAGAAAATAATTTCAGAAAATCAGTATTTTACTGGAATAAATAAGATTAGTGGTGATAATGATCAGCTCTTTAAGATGTTAGGTTTGGCAAAGAAGAGTGGAATTTTCACTATGTGATATCCACCTGAGGGCTTATGTTTATGGATCTTCTTTTGACCCCTTACTGAGTGAGAGTAGGGTAATTGGAACTAACACTACATTTTTTGAAGGAGGAATCTTCTGTGGGTTAACTTAAATTTTGCTGTGTGAAAGCATATCTGGTATTTCAAAATTGAAAATAATGACATCCTAATTTCTGTTTCCACAAATGGTCAGATTTTGTTTTACTTTCTTTTGTATATCTCATCTCTAGAAATCTTACAGATACCAATGCAAGTGTACCTCTTTGTATTTGCAGAAAAATTATAGGGACTCACAGAGCATATTCAAACAAATTATGTTTTTATCTTTAACCCTGAAAATAGGAGTTCCTCTGTGGACTCCGTTGCCTGAAATCACTATGTTAATTTGTATGAATCAAAGAGGTTTAGAAATTTATACTTTTCTCTTTCTTTCCCAGTTATCTGTATATGCATGTTGCTTTATTAATACAAGCTTTTAAATTAGGTTTTTTTGGCAATGAGTAAAACTTCTTTAAGAATTTCTTTTCCTGGGGCACCTGGGTGGCTCAGTTGGTTAAGCAGCTTCCTTAGGTTCAGGTCATGATCCTGGAGTCCCACTATCGAGTCCCTCATTGGGCTCCCTGCTCGGTGGGGGGCTTGTGTGCTCTCTCTCTCTCGCTCTCACTCACTCTCAAATAAATAAAATCTTAAAAAACAGAATTTCTTTTACTGTGGCTGAGTCTTTCCACCATCTTACTTATTCTCAAGTTTCTTGTTGAATATTCTTATTTTATTAAATTCAGTTTAATGAAATAATTTCTGTGTGTTTGTGTGCAGGAAAGTAGAAAATGAAATCAAAGTCTTAATAATAGATACTGTACATCTTATGTCATTTTGTATTAATGCAGCCGTACTATAATTTCATTGCAGTCTTTTCCCTGACTATGGCCCTATTTACATTAAAGGTTTGAGTGTATTTGGTATGTTGAAAAATCATATTGCTTACGAAGCAGCCATTATAGTGCACTGACTCAGGAGCTGGGCCACCTGGATTCAAATCCCAACAGTTACTTTGTAACTGAGATCTTTTCATCTGTTAAGTAGGAGTGATAATGCTACCTAACTCATAGGGTTATTATGAGGATTAAGTCACTTAAAATAAGGGACTGCTAGAGGTTTATGTCATTTATTTTTATTTTTTGAGAGAGAGTAGGTTTGGAAGGGCAGAAGGAGAGGGTGAGAGAGAATCTTAAGCAGGCTCCATGCCCAGTGTGAAGCCCAATGAGGGGCTCTATCTCACAACCCTGAGCTCACGACCTGAGCCGAAATCAAGAATTGGACGCTTAACTGACTTGGCTACCCAAGCACCCAAGTATTAAGTCACTTAAAATAAGTGACTGCTTAGAGTAGTACCTGGCACATGAGTGCTTTTAATATGCTTGCTACCATTTTTATTATCCTCATTTATTGTTATTTCTTTTCCTTAAGAGAAAGTGATATTGTCCATATCCTTTCCCATGAAACAGCCATATTTTAAACCAGAATTTTAAAGACCCAAGCTCTAAATAGCTGGGAGTAGAAATTTACTTCTAAATTTGGAATTGCTTATAATGGGTAGAAAATAATAAAGGTACTAAATTCTGCTGTCAGTAACACAGAATTAGCATTCTAAGTTGTGATTATTCTAGTTACAGATTTAAGCCTTCTGCTATCCTATATTGAGAGTCAGGAGACCCATGACCTACTTTGGACTCTGCTACCTCCTTTCTCCTTGAACTGGTTGTTTCCCTTCAGTAGGCATCGTTTTCTCTTAATTATAAGATGAAATGAATTGATTACTTGTAAAGGTCCACTAGTTTATATATTTTGACTTAAATTTTTCATCAATGTGAAAACAGCTAAGATGGATAAAGCCAGTGCAAAAATATTTTAAGGCTCAAATTGAAAGCTTTCATTAGTTAGTTGAAGTTAAAAATGCAGTGCTCATGAAGAGAACTTAAAAATTATGCATATTTTTAGTTTCATGAGAAGGCTTTGTTTTTTGTTTTCCAAATAATTGATTACTTTGGAAATCACAAAATTTTATTTGATGTCACATATATACTTGTTCTATAACTGATATCCATCACTAGTATTTGAACAGTAAGGTGGTGTTTCAGAATGTTGCTTGAAGTAACAAGACTTAGGTTTTTAAATATTTGGGTATATTTTATGTTGGAACATTTATAAATCCTTTAACTTAATTAATATATACTCTAAGACTCTGTGAATAACCATGCCTTTCTCTGATATTTCTTAGCTTTTTTTTTGGTTTGTAAGCTGTTTTGGCAAGGCAGTATAATAACAAAGAGATATAAATAAGACCAAAATTAGCTAGAAGAAAACAAAGGCTTTGGACATTATTGAGGACTATGATAAGTAAATACTTTAAATGAGAAAAAGAAAAAACATGATTAAAGATGAAAAACATAAACACTGTGATCTGGTAGACATTTGGGGTTTATTAGGAATTCGTTCAGTCATCCTTAGAGTACTGAAACATGGTTTTTATCCTGTAGAATACACTTGGGCTAGTGTGAGAATTCATACAGTTAATGGTCAGTGAACTTTAAGTTTAAAATCCCTAAGTAGTACCTAAAAGAAATCAGATGAAACATATTCACACAAAAACTTATTCAGTAATGTTCATAGTAGTATTTTTCATAATAGCTAAAAATGAAAACAATCCAAATGTTTATCAGCTGTTGAGTGGATAAATTAAATGTGGTATATCCATAGAATGGAATGAATATTCAGCCATAAAAAAGGGATAAAATACTGATACATGCATGCTACAATATAGATGAATCTTGAAGATGTTATGCTAAGTGAAAGAAACCAGACACGAAAGGCCATATATCGTATGGTCTCATTTATATAGTATATCCAGAGTAGGCAAATGCATAGAGACAGAAAGTAGATTAATGGCCACAGGTGGGAGGAGGAGACAATGAGGAGTGACTGCAAAAAGTACAGAATGTCTTTCAGGAGTGATGAAAATATTCTGGAATTAGAAGTGGCACAACTTTGTGAATATACTAAAAAGCACTGAATTATACACTTTAAAAAGGTGAATTTTATGGTATATGAAATTGTATCTCAATACATTTTTTAATGTACCATGCAGAGAGAACTGAAAAAAATACAAATAACACTTTATCAGTTTGAAGGCTCTTTTATTTCAAATAAAGATTCGTAAAAATAATTTTTAAAAAAATCACTAACTTACAAACCTCAATCTTAGAGAATTTAAGGATCTTATATGGCCCATTTCTACCTGCAATATTGACAGTCTCTACTTATAATTTATAGGTAAACTGTGTTAATCATCAGTGCTTTTTGATATGCGCAAAGTGTTTAGTAAGGATACTAACTCTAAGTTAAATAACAGTTTGGGTTTTAAGATCAGAAATACTTAACCTATGCACGATCGAATAATTTCCCAATTTTATTGATCACTGGGATTAGGAGTAATGAACTTTTTAGTTTCTGACTTTGTGTGCTACCCTCTTTCCTCATTATAAAATATTTTAAAAATCCATTTAAGTGTTTCTGATATATGATCCCATTAACATTAATATTATTAGTGTCTGTTCCTAATAATGCTTTTTTTAAATTGGTAGTCAGCCCATCCTTAGTTACCTCCACCATCATCAGAATTTTTTTGTATCAATGAATACTTACATTACTTGATTATAAATTAGAATTAAACATAGAGATACGGATAGGATCTGTGAAGCTACTTGAGTAGTAGTGGTTATGAAATTCTCACCACTGGTGCAAATTTGGGTACATGTCTTTAAATTTTTTTCCTGTAGTTTACTACTACCAGATTATAGAGTTAGGCTAGGACTTGCACACCAGAATGCAAGTTTCATGCAACAGGGACTGGGTCCATCTTATTCACAGCTGGATCTTGTATAGTGCCTGATACAGAGTATTTGGTACTCAGTAAATATTTGTTGCATGAAAATATCTGAGTCAAACAAAAAAGATCTGGTACCCATACTAGAGTGTGTGTGTGTGTGTGTGTGTGTGTGTGTGTGTGTGTGTGTGTGTG